GGCTGGGAGGCCAGAATGAAGGTTCTTACCCGGTGGCTGATGGGTAGGGCATGACGGGAATGGAGGAGACACAGGCAAAGGCAGAGAGGCTGGTACCGAGGGCGCAGCTGCCAGTTCCCACAGTCCAGGGGCTGGCCAGTCTGGTGACCCCACCTGCTTGTTCCTTCTCTTGGGGCTGGACATTGAAGATATGTCTTTTTCTCATGGTGGTCTTCTCTGTCCCTGCCAGGGAGGGACACCAGAGTGACCACATGGGAAGATGTAGCAAAGAAGAGGAGCAGGGGGTAATAGGACATGGTATGTGGGAAGGCCTTGGTGGCTCCAGAGCCTGTCCAGGTGTGTCCCTCCCCACTCACATCTACATGGTCCCCAACCTGGACCCTGGAACTTAGGATTTTTATGGAGGCGTCATTACGTAGGCCTCATTGATTAAACGATCGGCTGTTGATGATTGAATCAACCTCCAGTCCCTCTCCCCTCCCCAGGGGTCTGGAGGTGAGACTGAAAGTTGCAACCCTGTAATCACAGGGTGGGTTCCCCTGGTAACCAGTTCCCAACCTGAGGCTGCCCCAAAGCACTGGCCTCCTCCATGGCCAACTATCACCTCATTACTGATACGTGATTTCAGGTTTCCAGGCCTAGTCTCCCAGCCAGGAACAGATCCTAGGCTGCAGTGACAGCGCCGAGTCCCAGGCACTCGACCACTGCTGGTTGGTGTCTCACAAAGCCGCAGCAGGAACTTGGAAGACACTCAGGCAAGCAAGTCAAAAGAGGCTGATTTGTTTAGAGGGGAAAAAAAAGTTTATATTATTTTTTTTTAAAGATTTATATATTTATGCATACAAGAGCTGGGGGATAGGCCAGAGGTGTGGGGGGTGAGAGGATTCACCAGAGACCAAGTGGGGAACAGAACAGGCAGATTGACGAAAGTACACTGCTGAGGGGAGCAGTGGGAGAGTCAGGAGAGGTCTGCTGTACCATGTGGGTAGCTCCCTGGCTGGCCTGGGATCGAACTTGTGTTGTAGTGGCTGCGGACAGTTTCATAGGTTGTGTCTTAATGCCTTGCGCCACCAGGGAGGCACCAAGAAAAATTTACTAAGTGGAAAGGGAACAGAACTAAAGTGGACTCCCAGGCCGGTGGAACCAGGCCAGGGAGGGGCAAGGAAGCCCAGTGGAATCGTGCCTCAGGGAATGTAGACCTTCTTTCCCTAATTATTCTAAAGCTCCACCAGTCTCTTTGTGATCGGTTAGTTCTCAGCAGTCTCACTCACTGCCCTAATGTCGCTGTGCCCAGAATGAAGTCTCTGTGTCCCAGCCCTTATCTTAGCATACATTTCTTTCTCATCCTTGTTCTGGAATGTCCAGTTGCCCCTAGTCCTGGGGGGTTTGATTAGTTCCCTTTGGAATTTGTTGCCCTTATCTCTGGAGCCTCCTTCCTCCTCTGAGGTTTTTTCTGTTCTATTCTGACCCTAAGACCTCTGAGCTTGCCCTGTGACTCATTACTACACAAAGAGACATGTAGAGATCACAAGGATTTTGGTAGCTGTGTGTGGGCAAACAAGAACAGAGATCAAGGCCTCCCGGGTGGCGCAAGTGGTTAAGACCCAGCACTATGAAACTATCTACAGCCTCTGCAGTATGAGAGGCTCGCCTATATTTCAGTCAATCTGCCTGTTCTGTTCCCCACTCTGTCTTTAGTGAATCCTCTCACCCCCCACACCTCTGGCATGTACCCCAGTTCCTGTATGCATAAATAAATAACTCTTTAAAAGAAAGGAATGGAGATCAAACATTTATTTTTTTAAACATAAAAACAAGTTTATTGTCAGATAACAACAGGACAGCACTCTGGAAAGAGAGAGGTCCCAAATATATTTGTAATCACACTACATACCTTGAGGGGTCACTTCTGGAGGCCTGCAGGTTAGGCCAGAGCTAGAGGCTCTGGACAAAAGAAGTTGAGTCCTGCTCTGGGTCGGCCCAAGACCCACTCAGGCTCCTCCTTGCATCTCTGCCCACAAGCAAATGGAGGCCCACAGACCAGGGCTCAATACCCAGGGAGTGGCCATCAAAAGCACTTAAATAAGGCCGACTTGAACATTTTTAGTTCTGGAGATTTATTTAATGAATTCAAGCTTGTTCAAATATTTCATGAACGGGAAACTCTTCCTAATGTGAGCAGTCAAGCTCTAGCTGCCAACGTCAAGAGTCAAGACTGTCCACCAATCTGTCTTCCATCTACCTCCCTACACATTAGAGTACTCAGAATGACTACGTGGCCAAATGTTCCTCAGCAATTATGTGTAACGTTTGCAAACATTGCCTATGTCTAACTGGGGAGGCCCTCCCCAATCCTGTGTTGTAAGAAAGTGGACTTTTGGCATGATTGTGAAACAAGGGTTAATATCGCAAGAGTTTGTTTTCTCTGTTGAGAGAGAAGAATGAGAACATTAGTCTTTCCTCTTACCTCTAAATCTCCCCAAATCCTCCCTGACCTCTAAAAGAGTGTCCACCTCCTGTATCAGCGGTAGGGAACCCACAGAGCCCCAGGACACTTGATACAGTGGTTTGTTGTTTCAGGGGTAAAACAGACGATGCGAGACGTGGTTCTCCAGGGGTCTGAATAGTGCTGGCAGTGAGGAAGCATGTTTAAGGTTTTGGGTCACTTAGCACCAGATCCCAAGTGGCAGAAGTGCTTTTGTGTTATTTAATAAACTGTGTGTGTGTGTTGTTGGGGTGAAGGGAACTATCCCTACTCAAACTCTGGGCTCTGAGCATGAACCCCACTTGACACAGCACAATGGTGGCGTTGTCACCATGCAACCCTCAGCCTCTCCTTGCATACACAGTGCCTTGGATCTACGCCCAGGCCCCATCAGATCACACCAGGACCATGCAAGGGCTTCCTACTGTCTCTCAAATCCATGCTCCTATTTCTACCTTCTCTTATCCTCACTGTAGACATGAGCCAAGCAGACACTTCTGCTCCTACCCAACTTAAAACCTCCCCATATTTCCCCATTCACCCAGAGTCCACTGCCAACTCTTCAGCCTGGCACAGATGCTCTGCAGGCTTGAATTCCCCCAACCTATCCAGCCTCAATCTGGGTTGCTCCAGTCACCTCAGACACCATCACACACTCCAGCTACAGCCCTTCCAGGTCCTTCCTGCACCTCTCGCTCATTTGCAATCTTTCCTCTAAAAAGGCCCTGATCATTTCTTTTAGTATCAAGTTAGAGCAATACAAATTCAAAACACAAATGAGCTTGCAATAATAATGAAAAAAATAAGGGAAATTCTAGTGTTGACAAGGATGTGTAGAAAGAGACTTATTTGAACACCGGCAAATTTGTGCAACCTCAAAAATCATTATCATTGATTTGTCAAGTTCTGTTTTGTATGTTTTGGAAAGAGATTTTTTTTAAATCAAATCCATTGAGGCATAAAACATCTGAAGTTTACAGTTCATTGAATCTTCACCAATGGACATACAGGTGTGAATGCCATCATAAAGAAAATATAGAACATTGCCGTCTACTGCAGAAAGTTCCTTTGTGCCTTTGGCAGTCAAATTGCTCTCCTCGCCCTAGGCAACCTCTGACATGATTTCCATCATTCTAGATGAATTTGGACTATTCTATTCCTTCATATAAATAGAATCATATAGCATGAGCAGACTGATTGCTGCTCAGCGTGTTTTTAAGATTTATTTTGATGTTACCTGCATCTCTGTCATTCATTCCGTATCATTGCTCAGTAATATTCCATTGAATGAAATACCACCACATGCTTTCCCCTTTTCTTCCTGGTGGATGGATATTTGAATGGTTTCTAGGTTTCTGCTATTTTGAGAAACGCTCAAGTCTTATGTTAGACATATACTTTTCTTTTTCTTCACAATTTTTGCAAGCAATGTGGTCACTCTCTGGCATGAGACTTTAAAGGGGTCTATCACAGTATAAAATGCTACAGACAACTGTAGCTCAATAAAGCTGTAAAAGTAAAATAAAAGCTATAGAGGACAGAATTAAGGAGGTTAGAATTTTGGACATGAATGAAAGGGTACAAATCCATTAAAATGACTGCTACTAAATAGGCTGAACTGTGAGAAATTATTCAAAACATTTTGCAATAAATAAGACTACACAATGGTCGGCATGCCATGAAAATGTGTTCTGAAAGCATTGTTTTGGATGCATAAAGATTTGACGCTCCCCCTGTGGTGTAGAAATACAAATGGGCAGTGGAATTATTGATTCCAAGTAGTTATTGAATACCACCATGTTCCAGGCACTGTTCCAGGATTGGGAACACATTGGGAAGAAGACAGACAAGCTCCCCACTCACATGCTGGGGGTGGAGACACAAGGTTTTAATGTCCTGTTTAGATGTAGGGAGATGGTTCCAGTGATACAGTAACTAGACATAGACATTCAACTGAGATGCTCTCCTCTTTCGGAAATGTCCCTGCCTGCAGGGTAGCTGAGACCCCGCTGAACTTTGGCTCTTCCATGGTTGTTGCACACTAAGTTGGAGTAGAATCCATATTTGCCCTCACCCTCCCAACTCTCCCCTACCCCACACCCCACATGGATACGGCCCTAGCCTGGGAACTAAGGTGACTTCAACTTTTGATTGGTGGCTCTATCTGCTCAGGTGTGGGTACTTTGGAAAAGAAAGTGGACGAAAACCTGCGCAATTGCCTCACAGCCCCCGGTTGAAATCCAGACATGTTAATTGATACCCTCCAGTCCACGCCCACCTTGGCTCTGAATAGACAGACCTTTGTGCCCAGACACCTCTCCAGGTCAGGGGTCCAAATTACACTTGGACTGGGGATTTTGGAGGAATGAGAAAAGGTTTTATACAAGGTATTTTCCAAACTCTACCTGGAATGTGTCCCAGTCAGGTCCCTAGATCCTGCCCACGCCTCCATACAAAAGTCCCTGCACCCTCCAGCCGCCAGTGCTGCCTAGCTGCAGGTGTCTCTCATATCAGCATGGCGCTGCCCTGGGCCCTCGCCGTCCTGAGCCTCCTTCCTCTGCTGAGTGCCCAGAGCCCAGAATGTGCCAACTTCACGGCGAAGCCCATCACCAATGTCACTTTGGACTGGGTGAGTGCCTGCGCACCATTTGGTGATGGTCAATGCCCTCTCCCGGTTTCTGGAGTGCAGTTTTAATCCACCAGGTAGAAGTTAGAGGCATTTAATTACTCCCAAAGTCAGTAGCCCCATTGCAATTTCTTAGGGAACACTGAGCTAAGCACAGAGGGGCCACCGGGGCTGGGTGGGTGGTGTTGCATGGAGCGAGCTCTTGGATATCCACTTCCCACCTGGAGCCCTGTCTTCCTGTTTGCAAAATGGAGGGAGATCAGCCCAAGACTCGCCGCAGCTGAGCATCAAGGATTCAGCTCCAGACTCTATTACCCCTGGCTTCTCCCCAGCTCTCTGGCAAGTGGTTCTATGTTGCCGGGATCTTCCGACACCCTCTGCACAATCAATCGGCTAGAAGTGTCCCCTCGGCCTTTGCCTACTTTGCCCCCAATCATACGGAGGACAAGATATATACCAGAGTGTACCAGACTGTGTAAGACTCCCACACTCTCTGCTTCCAGTCCCAGTTGCTGGACTTGAGTGGATCCTCCCTCTTCCTGGTCTCGGCCTCCACATCTATGGCGGGAGAGGGATGACTGTAATGGTCACTGTTGCCCCAATGTCTGATGGGCAATGGCCCACTTCTCCTTGACTATCTTACTGCTTTTCTCCCTGGCTGTCTGGTCTAGTGGGGACCGCTGCATTTACAACAGTAGCCAGGTGGTGGTCCACCGGAAGAATGGGACAATGTTCACAAAAGGTAAGGGTCAAGGGGAGGACAGGGCTGGTTTTGAGGGAGAGTAGACCAGCCTAAAGGAGGGGAGCAGGGACCAAGTCTCTGAGGACTTTGGGCACAGAGAACACAGGAGAGACGCCCATGCTGCACACACCTGTCAGTAATAGCTACACGTTTTGAACTCTTGCTGTGTGCCAGGCGCTGCTGAAATGCTTCACAGCAATGAACCCACTGAATTCTCACCTGCAGCCCTAGGAGAACATTACAGTGATCCGACGAGGAATTGGGGAAACAGAGACCTCAAGTGTTTTCCCCTGCGCCACTCACCTGCAATTAGGGCCAGGACTCAAATCCAGGGCTGACTCCAGACCTGCCTCTCTCTCAACTGCTTTCCCCTTTGGGAGCTAAGGGTGGTGACTTCACCCAGCCCCACTATCACCACCAGAGGGCACCCAGTGGGAGCACAGGAATGCTGACTCCACTGGCAGGCCTCAGGCTCCTGCCTGGGGTCTCACCTCCTCTGTAGATGGCAGAGGGCCCTGACAGCTGGTCTCCGGGAGGATCCATACTACTCAAAATGGTCAGGACAGGCCTGGCATGCAGTAGGAGCTGGGCCATGTTGTCCTGGCATTCAATGATGGGGTCTGTGTCAACCTGGACACCCCCAGTGTCCTCGCCTGTGATACATGAACCACACTGACCCCTGGCCCTCATCTCACTCAGAGGTTTTCTCCTCCAGAAAATGACACGGAATATCACACCCACCTGCTGCTCAGCAAGAACCCCAGGACCTTCATGTTATCCTTCTTTCCAGAGGACAAGCAGAAAATGGGAATTGCCATCTATTGTACGTACCCCAAGATCTCATCGCACCCTGGCCTTTGATCCATTGACCATCCCCTCCTGGGGTTTGGCCCCCAGAACCTCAACCATCCCTGGTACCCTAGCCCAAATATCCTAGCAGCCTCAGCCAGCCCATTGTTCCTTCCTGCAGCTGACAAGCCCCACTTCAGTGAGGAGCAGCTGAATGAGTTCCATGAAGTCATAGAGTGCATGGGCATGCACAAGTCGGAGATCATTCTCAGTGATGAGAAAAAGGTGAGTGCAAGGAGCGCTGACAGTGCTGCCCTGGACATCCCCAGAGGCCCAGAGAGGAAAGCTGGCCACCAGGGCTGCGCAGCAAGACTGATGTCCTGCTCTGAAGCACCCTCCTTGCTGCAGGGAGAGCTGAGATTCGCAGAGGCCACGGGGTGGACTAGAATCCAGGAGGGAGAAGGCAGTGGGAATCAGGAAAAATGCTGGATGAGGTGGGGAATGTTGAGAGGCCACCAAGAGGCAGCAGCACAGCCAAGGAGCTGCAGTGGGAATTTGGGGAAGAGACTCACACAGGGAATTCTCACTGATGACTGCTGCCACCCCCAGGTTTCTCATACTCCTACCAAGAGAATGGATACTGGGGTTTACCAAACTGCAGCAAATCCAGGTCACCATCCCAACTGTGTAACCGTCTCCTTAACACTTTCTTTAAACCTGTGGAAGGATTTCCTTGCTGCTATTTTATGCAATACTCTGAAATCACAGCACTGATAAGCAGTTTCCACTTACAAGAAAGTACTTCATGATTATGAAAATGAGAAGAGCTTCCTCAGCTTTGCCCCTAAGGTCATCTCCCTTGACTGCCGTGGCACCTCTCATCTCCTTGCTCCCAGGAACCCTTGGAAAGTCTTATGAACCCAGGCCCTGGAGTTGGTCGCCTGGCCTGCAGCCTGCCTCTCCACCCACTGGCTGGGAGCCTAGGACAGGCCACATGGCTGCCCCAACCCTCAGTTGCACCATCTGCAAAATGGGGATGTTGTGAGGGATTCGGGAGACAGGGCGAAATGCTTGGCAGTTACATGCTCAGGAAGTGCCAGCCTTTCTCCCCCATTGTGAAGAAGCTGAGGCTCAGAGAGGGAAAGTGACTCACTCCAGGTCACACAGCAAGGGACCTTCGCCTCCCACCTATGGTGTTTCCTTCTCCCACTACCTTCTAGGATCAGTGTGGGCCGCTGGAGAAGCAGCACGAGGAAGAGAGGAAGAAGGAGCAGGAGGGGGCCAAAGAAGAGTGAGCACTGGGTTAGAACATCAGGGAATTTGGGGTTCATTTCTAGCTCCTTGCCCCACTGTTTGAACCTCGGTTCCTTCCCTCAGATGTATCAACAAAGTCTACTTTTTTCAAAGGCAGGTGGTCATTTGCTCATTCACTTATTCATTCATGATGAAGCAACCCCCAGCTGTGCCTTTTCCGGTTATGGGATGAGACCCTTCCCCTGGCTGGGATGGAAGAGCCCCTTGTAACGCCCAGCACATGGGTGGGCTGGATGATGCACTTGTGCTGTGGGAGCCCAGCTGGTCAAGGTTCCTTCTGCGGTGGGGAAATCTTAGAAGGCTTCCTGGAAGGGGCATCTAAATCGGTCTCCTAAGATTAGTGATGCTGGTGTGCATTGTTAGTTTAGCCCTTGAACCAACACAGGTTCTTTTGCCACAAATCTGGGAAAAAGATTTGCAGACAATTTAGATAAGCAGAGAAACAAACTTTAAGAAAGTAAATTTATTTAAAGCCTGAAAGCAAGGACTCCCAGGTACACTCTACTTGTGAAGGGCAAAAAACCTTTTGTTGGCCTGTGTCTAGGGGTATTCAAATCTTTTCTCTATTCTGACACCTCAACATCCTGCTTTGTGATTGACTCTTTCTCCAAGAGGCCCTACTCCCCCAGGCAGATGTGCCCATTTTCCCAGCTCTTAGATTTTCTTTTTACCCCACCCCGTCCAAGGTTTCTTAAAATTCACTGCCCTTATCTCAGAAGTCTCTTTTAACTCTCCCGAAGTTCCAGCCTACACTGTCCTTGAAGCTGCTTCATTAACCGAACATGCCCTGGGACTCATTAGGAGATTAATAATACCCGCTGTTCTTGCTATAAGCCAAGTATCTAAGAGAAGATGTTTAGGGATCGAGGCAGACGTAGAAGTTCAAGTTGGTGTGGCCAAGGGACGGCTAGCACTCCGGCACTTGGGCCATTCATGAGGGACCCTACTGCACGCCTCTCCTTGGCCATCTGGCTGACGGGGAAGGCATGGCAGACAGGAGGCTGCTGTGCGGACCTTGACAAGAGGCTGGTGTCTGGGCCGGGACACCAGGGTAATCTGGAGGACTCGGGACCTCGTTTCTCTATTAAGGGTTCTCTGGTGTGCACCAGGAAGGAGGGTGAGAGACCTAGGGGTGAGGTTGGCCCAAGAAACCAGCTGACGGCCTACAAATGGGTTTGGAACAGTTGATGTGATCCGTGTGAGGCGGGTCCTCAGAGAGGCATAAGCAGAACTGAGCGCCTGAAGCCAGGGCTGCAGCAAAGAAGGGGACCTCTTTCCAGACCCCGGGGTTTTGGGATTTGTGGCTGTGTGAGGGGAGCAGCACCACTGAGGTGAGAACAAACACATTAAGTGAATGTAGATACTTGGGCAGCTCACTGGTGATCGTCCTGAGCCACCCAGAGCAATTGGACGATGACCGGCACCAGTGCCTGGTTCCGTGACTCACGTCAGCACCCTGTGTCTCCCCTCTAAAGGCCAGGCTGCCCAAACCCAACTCCAAAACCTTTGGTCAAAGTGGGTGACTGCTCTGTGCAGGAGTAAGGAATACAAGGTACTCAGGCTGTTTTTCATCTTCCAGCAGCCTCTACAGCTGCCATCTGTGGCCTTGTTTTCCTCCCAGGTCACATGACCTGCACGTGATACCCTGTTAATGCAAAAAGTACTTGGAGCACAAGCACAGGCACGTGCACCTATGGTTACCCACACCCAGGACAGGCTAAGCAGCAGAGGGCACTGGGTGCGTGCATATATAAAATCACACTCCTGAGCCAAGAGGGTGAGGGATAAAATGGGAGATTTGGGAGGGGCTCAGTTGCTACCTCTCTGCCTACCTGTCTGGTTTCCTGCTTCAACGTTAAGGGCCTGTCAAATCTACTGAGGGCTCCAAAATTCTCTTTTTCTCTGCTTGAGTTAGCAATGAATCTACCCTACCAAGGCATGGGGTCTCTTTCCTGAAGCTGGGGGCCATGCTGGGCCTCATCTCAGCTCCCCCTCCAGGCACCCCCCAGAATCTGAGATGAGCCTCTCACTCCCAGAGAAGGGGCTGCACCAGGAGTTTCCTACCAGGAATCATCCTCCCTCAGGGTTACTTTAGCAGCTGCCCTTTGCAACACTGAGAAATGCCTGCTGAAAAGTGTCCGGGGGCTGGGCAAAGTAAGTGAGTGGGCTTATTAGAAGAAAAGCAGATGGAAGATTCAAGTTAGGGAGAAAGATTTCATGGAGGTTTGGGAAGAGAAACAAAGAAAAAGGAGTTGGGGAGAAAAAACGTCATGGAAGCTTAGGAAGGGAACAGAAGAAAAAATTAGGGAGAAAAAACTTCCTGGAGGAGAAACCTGGAACAAGAAGATGGGCTGCCAGTCCTCCCTGGGGGCGCAAAATGTTAAGACGCAACCTATGAAGCTGTCCTCAGCCACTGCAGTATGAGTTCGATCCCCAGCCAAAGAGCTGCCCATATGGCGCAGCAGACCTCACTGGCCAGCTGCTCCCCTCAACAGTGTATTTCAGTACATCTGCCTGTTCTGCTCCCCATTCTATCTCTGGTGAATCCACCCCCCACACCTCTGAACTGAACCCCAGTTATTGTATGCATAAATCATTAAAAAAAAACTGGACGGTTGAGATGCCATGTGGAGTTCTGGAAGACATTCCTGTCAATAAGACCCATACCCACAGGACTAAGGTGTGGGCTGTGGGGAGCACATGGGGTCTAGCGCCCGGTAAAGGCAGCTGTTTGCTGGAAAAGGAGACCTAGGGAGTCCAGGCTTGCGGTTCTGCAAACACCCACTCACTGTTTCTCATGTCTCTGGCCTCAACACAATGGGGCGCAGGCAGCTCTTCAGTGCAAAGGGTTACAGTTCTGAGATAGGCAGGAGGGGATGCTGGAGAAAGAAGCCAGCAGAGGGGGGTCAGGCTGGGTCTGTAAAAGTGCCCCCAACAGCTCCCCCAGGAGAGGGTTTGGCTCTACATCCACCTTCTACCTGACAGGTGATTTAGAAACCAAATCCTTGACACATGCCACAGGTGTACACGGCTTCGGGAATGATTTTTTGTAGCTTTTCATTTCAGATCAACGTTCACCTTCCTTCATTTGCCCTCATAGTGAAAATAGAACTTTAAATGCTTCAACCATACAGACATCACTGATTGTAGCGGCAGGAATGGCCACAGGGCAGGATCTCTATGATCCCAGCTGACAGGGTAAAGGAGGAGTCCTGGAGCTCTCCGTGGCTTTTCAGGCTTTTATTGGGATTTACCAGGTACACGGCAGGCAGGGGTGCTGGGGGGCCAGGAGGCTGGCAGGCCTCCCAGGTTCCAGCAAGTCTTTACTCTACCTGGGCCTCTGAGGTTCTCTGGTGGCCACGTTCTCTGGTGGCCCTGATCTCTGCTGCTCTCGTGGTTCTTTTCGCATCCCCATGATGCCGCCCTTATAAGCCCAGTCTTGGCCAAGGTGAATCCCATCTACCTATGCCCACACCCTACTCCAGGTGGCCGCCATCAGGCCTGCATTCAGGACCAGGATCCTTCATCAGTCCTAATGGCGGGAGGGCAGAAAAGCCTGACAATTTTTCACTTACCCTACACTGATGCACACACATTCTAAAAAATGCTGAGGTCCGTGCTCTCGGGGCTTGGGGAGCAGGTGAAGGCAGGCCTCGTGGCTATGGATTGGGGTGGCAGGTAGCAGGTCACTCACCAGAACCACAGGGTTCCCAGGAGCAGGCCTGGGAGCTCAGGATGAGGTCCTGAGAGGGACGGTGGGGTCTTCATCCCAGCAGACCCATGAGGAAGGCGCTCTCACAATGCAGAAGCTGGGAGCATGTCATCCTCAGGCCCGATACCCCAGTGGTCTCAAACTGTCACAGAGCAACCCTGATATAAAACGGGTTGCCTGATTGTGGGTCCTCACCTGCGCCCTTAAAGGGGGCTTATAATGCCGAACTGTAGACACACACAAAAGGATGATAAAAGGTTTATTTACAAGGGAAAGAGAAATGGGGAAATGAGTAACTCAGGGAGAAAGAGAGGGAGATAAGTTCGTAAATGCGTCCTACCCGTTCCACTGACCTGGGATCCCAATGACGCGCCGAGCTGGGGACAAGCTAGCACGCCCAGACCAGGGCGACCCCCGGCCACATGGCCAGTTAACCTAGTTGCTTCACTCCGCCCTCAGGTCCTCCCAACCCTCCCTTCTGAGATCAGGGGATGTGTAGTTCGCAGTGTCTGGATGGAGCGCGGGTGGAGTCCACAAAGCCTGTACGGAGTTTGCTCAGGGCACCCTTTCCCCCTAACAACAACGGCCTACAGACCAGCAGGCTCCAGGAGAACGTTCCCACCGCAGAGACGCGTGCCCTGGAGTGGCTGGTCATAGGCAGGGGTTCCCTTTGTGCCAGAGACCCTGTTCTTTCCCTTCTTTCTGGCCTCCTGAGGAGGCTCTCAGACCAGGAAAACCTGCTTTAAAAAAAAAAATCTGTCCATTTGGACAAAAAATACACATTATTAGCTGCCATGGGCTGTGCAGGACGACTAGAAAAGCCTCCCAGACACTGTGTGAGGACCAAAGGCGCCCCGTCCCGGCACCCCCTCCAGGCGCTGTCCCTGGGATGTTACTTCCCTTGATTACTTGATGTCCCTCCATTAAGAAAATCGAAACCAGGCAGGACACCCTATTCCCATGAGGGTCCTGTGGGGCTTTCAGGAGAGGCTGCGGCCAGTGCCCGGCCTGGGGAACAGCAGTGGGGGGTGCCCTCCTGCTAGCCTGCCCGCCTGCCTGGCACCTGGGCCTCTGGCCACCCTCTGAGGCTGCCCACTCTGACTCTGTGGACCAGAAGGGGCAGGAGTCCTGCAGGTTGCGGGTGTCCCACAGGTGTGCACACAGGGAGAGGCTCATCTTTGTGGTAGAACTGACGCTCTCGGCAGCCTGCACGGCTTGGCTCAGGGCCTTGCTGAGCTCCTCAGGTCCTCCAGGTACTCATTCAGGGTAGCAGCAGGT